AAACAGTCCGAAGAAACCATGCTGAAAATGGTCGGAATCGCAGTCTCTTAAAATGTGAGCATATTATAGTAACTACGTCTGGTGCAAGAAAGAAAAAATGTATTGCCACACTTCTAATTTCGACCACGTTGCTGTACTACAGATGCTATATCCAGGTATTTATGCTGTAATGTATAACGTGTTCCAACTCGGATGTATGGTACAGCTGTCGAAGGTGAATAGCACGCATATTTTAATCATGGAGGTACGTCTGATTTAAACTCATGATTTCGTCGGCGGGCGTTTAACCACGACCACTACTACGTCCTATCTATGACCGTAGATCAGCCGAATCCATAGATTGCCGAATCGTTATCTATGACCATTGAACTAGACCACTTCCCCTTCACTTCAATGTCTATGACTGAAATTTTTAACCGTTTATATCCATAGGTTTATATCTATTATCTATGTTTTTAACGTTTTCGACATTTTCTGACATTTTGTTATTTGCTGTTGTTGTTTGTGTTTATAATTATGCACAGACAAGAATCTATATTTCTTATTTTATGTTTTATTTATCGAGTAGTGCTGTTAATTTATTGTTTAGTGTAGGTTAGTAATTAACGATATATTTACCTTTTATATTTCTTACCTTTTAACATTTTGCCACGTACTTTGCTATAGGGACTACAGTGTCGTCAATAATTGCACAAAATAGTCTTCTTTCGTCCCACAATGTTGCAGTACCTGAAAGAAGTGTGCAATTGCCTTTTCTAGGAAACAGAAAACGTGGAGCGTTAATTGACAATGCCTTAACTACCTACATAAGGAGTTAACATGATCAGAAAGGTAAGTGATCATTCTAATTGAAGTCAGATATACTTTAGTTTATGGCAAAATAATGCTTATTTGTTTAAATAAGTACATGAGCATTACTTCTTGTACAACTGTATGCAGAGCAATTTACAAATTAATTGTGGGTATTACAATACTTAATACGTTATAAAGAAAGCATTAGAATTTATCCTGTCAATTAAAGACATGTCAGTAAACATGAAAACCGTTATCGCCATTTAATTCCTGCATAGCAACCTACATTCTTACAATTTATGAGAGTGTACTTGTATTTACGAGTTTTTTGTGTATAAGTATTGCCTTAAGTTTGGATATTTATTTTGTAATAATTGCCTAACGAAGTTACTAGCAATGGAACAGTTCCACAAATAATTTGAAACCTTTTCATGAAGTTAGTAGGGTGAGAGAAAATTAATTGTGTTGTACTTCAGTGTTAATTTTACAAAATTATTTAAATGACACAGCAAGAAAAAATGTATAAGCCTATCAACTTAAAAATTTTTTATTTCGAGCTTTTGTCTCAACATATCTGGATGAATAGGTAACTAAAATTATTAGGTGTGTATGAATTTAATTCAGGGCATTAGAATGGATTTGAAAATGTTATTTAACATTTAAAACTGTATATTTTTTAAATATTTATAGGAGTTACCTACTTGTAATTGCATTTAATAGTTGCAACAAATAGTATTTAAATAGTAAAGAGATTTTAACTTGCAGAATGAATATTGTTGATCTGATTTTTAAATATTGGTCATTTAATCAGTAAAAGAAGAAACTTATTTACTAAGAAAAAAAAATTCCACATCTAACTTCTTATTTGAATACCTAATGCATAATATAAATTAGCCTGCAAAATGAAATTTGTGAATTAGAAATTTTTTCATAAATCAATAACAATCACTTTTTATTTTAACGAATACTTTAAAATGACTATTAACATCCGTTCATTCATCTTCTAAAGGAGTATGTAGGGTTGCCTAGTCACACATCCAGTTTCTGCGATTTAATTTTTGTATTTGATGTGAATCCTTTCATTCGTTTGATCAGGGCCGCATTCAGAAATGTTCTCTAGAGAAAGCGATGTTGAACGGAAAACATTTTAAAAAAATGACCCAACGAGAAACTTGAAGTAATAATCGTATTGTGTATTATAAAAAACAATATAATCTTCACTTAAAGCGTCTATCAATAATTTTTTCTTTGTTTCAAAATATACATTTTTTAATACAGCTAAACAGCAGGAATGTAATGATGAGTTAAAATATTTAGGTTGTAATTTTTAAATCCATGTAGGTCATTTCTTTAGGATTCGTTTTAACGAACAGTTTCGTTTTTAACCGTAGAGGAAATAATTCAAAATTTTCAAATCATTTTTTAAGTTCAAAACACAATTTTCCAACCATTGAAAACCTAGAAATATGTATAAAATATAACAAAGAAACGTTTCAAATTAAACATCTTAGAATAATTTGTAATTTATAAGTCAAACTGCTTCGAAAAAGCAATTATTAATTGACCAAATAAATCTATGCTGTTCACAACCATTCGGTAACAAATGAATCAGTTTTTAATAAACAGCAATATTTCCAAAAAAGATAACTCTAATTATAAATCTACCTACATTAAAATAACGGAAATGAGTAGGTCCNCCAACCATTGAAAACCTAGAAATATGTATAAAATATAACAAAGAAACGTTTCAAATTAAACATCTTAGAATAATTAGTAATTTATAAGTCAAACTGCTTCCAAAAAGCAATTAATAATTGACCAAATAAATATATGCTATTCACAACCATTTGGTAACAAATGAATCAGTTTTTTATAAACAGCAATATTTCCAAAAAAGATAACTGAAAACTCATTTTTGAATTTTTTACCCACTACACGCTACCTCAAATCAATGAGGGAAAAATTGTTGCTGTTGTCACACCCCCGCGCCGGGAGTCGAACCTGGGACCTTTGGCTTTACACACCAATGTTCTGACCACTAAAAACTATGAGAGGTGACAACAGCAATCCCAACCAACCAACCAACCTACAAGGTTAACGATCCGTCATACTAATGTGACTATATATATATACCTCAAATTAATGAGGGAAAAATTGTTGCTATTGAGGTGCGTGTAGTGGGTAAAAAATTCAAAAATGAATTTTCAGAATAATATTTCATATTAAATTAACTCACTTCGAAAAGATGTCTAAATTGTATGTATGTTTAAAGATAACTCTAATTATAAATCTACCTACATTAAAATAACGGAAATGAGTAGGTCCCTGCCATGTTAATCAAGGTAACGAATATTGTTAACAAAATAATCAACATATCGATAGCGAAATATTAATGGGATAGTTTTATATATAGAGTAATGAGAAACAACAAAATAGAGGTAATTATTAATGACATTATCCAAATGTCGAATGTAAATAACCATTGCATAAATAGCTGTCACATTGCCCATGAAAATATTTTTATATCGGACCAGATAAAATTATTTTAAACTTATAATCGTACCGAAATTATTAAGAAAAGGATTGTCTCTCGTAAATAAGTTGAAATGAGTTAAATACCTCTTATTATTTGAATCTTTATGAAAATTTCAACCATTGATGTTTATAAACAATTGCGGTGTGATTTGATGTGACTATATTAACTAATATTGTTTTTAGAGCGTTTCTTTTTCCTTTAATTCGTGTTTTGACGCAGCTTTTCAGTGTTTTTTATTAAAAATTTAAATCAGTTTATAAGAAAAACAGAAGAAAAATTTAACTATTCCTTAATTGGCAGTTGAATTTGTTTATTAATTTTCACGGATTATTAGCTAAACTCTCGAACTTTAAAATGCAAGTTGTTAAACTTCTTTTTATGATAAATTGCTAATTGTACAAGGTGCAAAGTTGTTGATCTTTTTTCCTAGCGGGATAAATAAATAGGATTTTGCAAAAATTGTTGCACCTACAGCACTTATCTTTTGCACACATTTCAAACACGTCTTATAAAGGTAGTTTTACAAATTTTAAACGAATTTTTTTGTTTTTTGAAATAACTATTTTAATAGGTATCCCATTTTAATTCAGCAGCTCTCAATTTGTAAATAATTTTATTTCGTACATACCCCGTGTACTTCTTTCTTCTCTACGACCAAAATTTTTGTCAATATTTCAGAAAAAAACTACTTTTTCCACTTTATTGCTAAAATAAAAAACAATGAAACGAATTTTGTTTTAATCTGAAGAGGAATGGCCTTTTATTAACATCGCACCCAACAGATTTAATCCAAAATATTTTTATATTTTAATAAAACTCGCTGCTACTAATGTTTTCATTTTCAAATTATATATTCATTAGACCAGAGGGTTAAAGTTAGTTTTACATTTTATGTAGGTACCCCTTTTTGTAAATATAATATTAGTTTCTAATAGTGAAAATTTCGATTGTTATAATTTGCGTAATATCTGTTAAACACGAAACGTGGCTTGTTTTGCATACATACATCAAATAAACAATTTCTTCATTTATCTATTTTCAATGAAATACACAATAATATTAATGTACAGTTTTGTAGCCTATTTAATATAGGAAACGTATAATTACTTAAATGAAAATTCTAATCGAATTATTTTGCTGAACAAGTATCTGTCGTGTTGACTTTTTATTCTTCAAGTTGTTTTTGCTGACGAAATGCTAATTGTAAAAGAATGTGGACGGAAGCTCAAAATACTGTTTTTAGAGCGGCCAGCACTGCCTATTGCAGGCAGCGCAATACAATTTTGCACTTGGCCAAAAAAGTAAATGTGCCAAAAAATTGCTTTTTACCTTACTTACTTTTTTACAATATTACCTAATTGTTTCTTACCATATTCATCAATTTTTTACCATATTTAGTTATTGCAAGAACAGCACATCATACTGTTGGACAGTAATTTGTAAAAAAAAATACACATTTAAATGTTTGAAGAATAGACTTTCTTACTGTTCCTGAAACAAGTAAACGTATGTGAAATGTTTAAAATTTGAAAGATACAAACTGAGTTTATTTATTTATTTTTGTTTATTTACTTGCCAGGTACATAATGTAGTAACAATACACATAAAAAAAATATTTAAGTTATAATATATTATTTTA